CCAAGCAGGTTCTTCACTGACCCCAAAGTAGGGTTCAGTCTCACAAACCATGAGATCATGACCTCTGTCAAAGTCAAGAGTTGGATGCTTAACTGACTGAGCCACCCAGGCACCCCTGTGTCATTTCTTAAATTCCACATATGAGTGACATTAGATTCTCAAATTAAAACCTGAGATATACTCAATAATTTTTTAAATGTTTATTGATTTATTTTGGTAGAGAGACAGCATGAGAGCAGGGGAAGGGCAGAGAGAGAGGGAGAGAGAGAACCCAAGTAGGCTTCACACTGTCAGTGGAGAACCAGATGTGGACCTTGAACTCATGAACTGTGAGATCATGACCTGAGCTGAAATCAAGAGTCAGATGCTTAACTGACTGTGCCACCCATACTCTTCTTTCTCTAGTCCCCCATCCACAACCAATCCATCAGGAGGTACTGTAAACTCAACTTCCAATATATGTTTTACCTTCATTGCCTTTCTGTCAACCCAGACCATCCTCTTGCCTTGCCTGGATCACTGAAATTTCCTAATTGGTTTATCATATTCCAATCCTGTATCATCTTCCACAAAGTTCTTAATTTAAAAACATGATTTTAAACTTTTTATTATAAAATACTTAAACATTTAAATGGAGAGAGACCTTAAGGTTTATAAAATCTTAACATTGTACTATTTTGCTTCATGAGTTTTTCTTTTCTGTTCTTTTTTCTTTTTTTTTTAAGAAGGAAAATTATTGGTAGAGTTTAAGCTTCCTCCATACCTCTCCATGATGCCATTTCTTTCCTCCCCAGAGATAACCACTTACATAAATTTAGAGTTTATTATTCTCATTATGCTTTTATACTTTTGCTACTATTTGGTCCATAGATAGTGTTTAATATTGTTTTTAAATATTAGTGGTATTATATAGATGGTATCAGATTATAGGTTGTTTGTTTTACTTAATATGTTTTTTCTTAAATAGTTTATTGTCAAGTTTTTGTTTTACTTATGTTTTTGATGTTTGTTCAATACAGGTAGCTTTAGTTTATTCATTAAAATTGTTGTACAGTATGTTATCAGAATGAGAGATAATAATTTGTTTATTTTTCTATTGACCGATATTGAAATGGCTTATAATTTTGTCTTTTAGTAATGGACGCTGTAGCCCACATTTGTATATCTCTCTTCTGTACTTGTGCAAAAGTATCTCTAAATATATACCGAGGAGTAAAATATGGGCCTTTAGGGCCTTCCTAACTTTTATATGTTTTGCATAATTGCATTACAATCTTTAAAAAAATCTGATCAATCAAAAAAAACTATTATGGAGCACCTACAATATGCCAGTATGAAGCAGTAAACAGGAGAGACAAAATGTCTGCTGTCTTACATCTTATATACTAGTAGAGGGAAAACAAGTAAACTAATAAGATGATTTCAGTGAATGCTAAGTGCTGAATAATGAGTCATATCATCCTTCTACTTCAAGACCTGCAGTTATATTCCACTGCATTTAGGGTTAATGTAATAACTTCTTTCCAAACCTGTAAGATTTGGCACCATCTGGTCCCTGCCTTACTCCTCCTTTCTCTTTGGAGCTCCCTGTGCTTTTGCCACACTGACCTTGGAGTTTGGGGAACTCCCAAAGTGTTCTCCTGTGTCAGGACTTTTCACACACACTGTTCTAGCTTCCTATTAAGTTCTTCCCAATTTCTTTGACCGGATAACTCTTACTACTGATGCAACCCACAACTTACTTATCCGGTTCTCAGATAGACCTTTCTTGATCCCCTTAGAAATAGGTACCTTCTATTAAGTCTTTCTTATGGCATTCTGCTCGTTTCCTAGTATTACTTCCTACAACGTATTATTATACATTTATATGTCATCTGCCTCACCTAATACATTACAGGTTCTGTGAAGTCAGGGATGGTGCCTCTTTTGCTTCCTGCTCTATCTCCTAGCTCGCAGCTTGACATGGAATAGTTCCTTGGTGAATTTTATATTTTAATTAATTAATTTTAAAATGTATTCATTTAAATTCAAGTTAATTAATGTACAGTATAGTATTGGTTTCAATGATTCATCACTTATATACAACACCCAGGGGTCATCACTTACATACATACAACACTCAGTGCTCATCCCAACAAATGCCCTCTTTAATGCCCATCACCCGTTTAACCCATTCCTTCACCCCTTCCCCTCCAGCAACCCTCAGTTTGTTCTCTATTTTTAACAGTCTCTTATGGTTTTTCTCCCTCTCTGTTTTTATCTTATTTTCTCTTCCCCTATGTTCATCTGTTGTGTTTCTTAATTTCATATACCAGTGAAATCATATGGTATTTGTCTCTCTCTGACTGATGTATTTCACTTAGCATAATACACTCTAGTTTTACCCTTGTTGTTACTATCTTTTTGATCACTGAGTAGTATTCCCTCGTACGTATATACCACATCTTCTTTGTTCATTCATCAGTTGATGGACATTTGGGCTCTTTCCATAATTTGGCTATTGTTGATAGTGCTTCTATAAACACTGGGGTGCATGTGTACCTTCAAATCAGCATTTTTTTATCCTTTAGATAAATATCTAGTAGTGCAAATGCTGGGTAGTAATCTTGGTGAATTAAAAAAAATAATACAAATTTTTGTTTTTCTGAAAGTTTGGTTGCAGGCTCATTTTGAGCAGATGATTTGATTTTGTTTGGGTTTTGATTTCCCTCTCTCCTTCAGGGCTCTTTCCTCCCTAACTAAGGGTTTAGTTTAGCCTGTATGAATCCCCAGACCAGAACCAGGCCTTATTATCGATTTTAAAGTCTTCTGTCCTTGTGATACTAAAGATAACACAGACCTCATCAGAAGGCCAACAATGTTTGGTCTTGAGGCTATCACCCTGTCCACAGCCTGTCTCCCTTGGCTCTTAAGCAGATGAAATTCATAGCTCTAGATGGTGGTAGACAGCAGGGCCTTATATATATATATATATCAGGAGCCCATTTCTTCTGTCTTTCCCTCCCTCCTTCCTTCCTTCCCTCTCTCCCTCCTTCCTTCCTTTCCTCCCTCCTTCCTTCCCTCCCTCCCTCCTTCCTTCCCTCCCTCCCTCCTTCCTTCCTTCCCTCCCTCCTTCCTTCCCTCCCTCCCTCCTTCCTTCCCTTCCTCCCTCCCTCCCTCCCTCCTTCCTTCCTTCCTTCCTTCCTTCCTTCCTTCCTTCCTTCCTTCCTTCCTTCCTTCTTTCCTTCCTTCCTTCCTTCTCTTTCTTACTATCTGAAAGTAGGTTGAAGGTATTATGACATTTCACCCCAAAATACTGTAGCATGTATGTATATCCTAAAAAAAGAATATTCTCAGGGTGCCTGGGTGGCTCAGTCAGTTGGGCGTCCAACTTGGGTCAGGTCATGATCTTACGGCTCGTGAGTTCAAGCCCCATTTCAGGCTTTGTGCTGATAGCTCAGAGCCTGGAGCCTGCTTCAGATTCTGTGTTCCCTTCTCTCTCTGTTCCTCCCTCACTCATGCTCTGTCTCTCTGTCTCTCAAAAATAAATAAACATTAAAAGAGAAAGAATATGTTCCTACCAAATTATAATACCACTATATCACACCTATGAAAATTTATGTTAATAGAGTGATATTATCTAATATAATGTCCATGTTCAACTTTCTCTAATTTCATCCCCCCCAAAAATTGCATAACAATTTTTAATGAAAGATCACACTTTTTTTTTTTTTTAAATTTCTACATCTTCTTTAAGCCAGAACAGCTCCCTGGCCCTATTTTATTTTTATTTTAAATTTTTTTGTCTCTCACAATATCAACATTTTTGAAGAGTTCAGGTCAGGCTTCTGATAGAATGACCAATAATCTGTATTTTTTTTTAAGTTTTCTTTTTCCAAGAACACTCCATGTTTTTGATGGTATAGTGTCCTCATCACATTGCATCCCACGAGGAGGCACATGATGTTATTTTGTCTCATTAGTGGTAACGCTAAGTTTGATTACTTGTTTCAGATGATCTCCACTAGACCTTTTCAGGATAAAGACATCTTTTTCTCTTTGAATTTAATAAGGGATCTTTGGGGTGGCCACTCTGAGACTATGTGAATACTCCGTTTAGTAACAACCTTTCACCTAGTGGTATTAACATCTGTTGGTGATGCTCGTATATGTGATTGTATTGGTAGTTGCCAAATAGATATTATATAATTTACCACTTTTTCTACATATATATGTGTATGTATATATGTGCGTGTGTGTGTGTATTGTTTGTTTGCTTGTTTGTTTTTGAGAGAGAGAGAGAGAGAGAGAACACAAGCAGGGGAGAAGGGCAGATTGAGTGAGAGAGAGATAATCCTAAGCATGTTCCATGCTCAGTACAGAGCCCAACATGGGGCTAAATCCCAAGACCCTGGGATCATGACCCGAGCCGAAATTAAGAGTCAGATACTCAACTAACTGACCCACCCAGGAGCCCCTACTTCTACATTTTTTTAAGCTGACATTCTATAAAGAAGCCTGTTTTTGTTGTTGTTGTTCATTTGTTTGTTTCAGTATTTTAAAAGTATTATTATGGGCTCATAGTTTCTTTTTTCATAGGACATTCTGACCAAAAGTAAAGTAGTGCCTTTCTGCATATTTTTTCATAGTGCCTAATATATATTTATTATATATTTTTCTTATATGATACTTCATAATCATTGTCTATGTGAAATAAAATATTATAATAAATAGCATAGTGTGGAAAAACACTTGCCCCTTCACCAACTTTGAGATGTTGTTGTAGTCAGGTTTAAAATTTCTTTCTTCATTTACTGTGGTTAACAACTATGGTAGTGATTTATTTTCATTTATGTTCCTTTGGTGACTTCAACATGAAATCAAATCTGGCATTGTTATTAAAAATTCATTGGGTAAAGTTCTTAGTGATAAAATATCATACACAGAAATACACTTCTTTCCCTTTCTCCCTGACAACAATGCATGTGTATTTAATAATGCCCTCTCTGTCTTATTTTTAGGATCGAAGGTTCAATGATGAAATTGACAAGCTAACTGGATACAAGACAAAATCACTATTGTGCATGCCTATCCGAAGCAGTGATGGTGAGATTATTGGTGTGGCCCAGGCGATAAATAAGATTCCTGAAGGTGCTCCATTTACTGAAGATGATGAAAAAGTAAGTTTTCATGCTTTTTGTGACTTGTATTCTCCTTTTTGATCATTGATTGCTATTCTCTCTGCAAGGAACAGGACTTGCGTGAGTAGCTGTTGACCCATTCATGGGTCAAAGAACTTTTCTTGTGTTTTACAAAATGTAGCGGAAGTTTTGAATATTTCCTAGAATGTGGTACAATTGAAAATAATTACTTCATCTTTTTCTTAGCTTGCTTTTCATTGCAAGCTCCAGTAGTATCCTTCCCTGGTCTTTATCTTCCTTACATGTAAGATACACTGCCACCACATATGGCCCAAGGGAAGATAAGGGACGATGGGACAATTACAGTGTTTTGGAAACTCAGCACTTCCTCTTGTGTTTTCTTAACTACTGCGAAGAATTTTCTCAGTTCTTATATAAAACTCTCAATAAAATGAATGTTATTTAATTGTTATTCCAAATTGCTAATAAAAAGAACATTATTTTTGTCCCAGAAGAGCAATTGACTTTGGTAGAAGTGATGTCTTTTTTGTTCTGAAAGTTTTAAGTTTTTACCAGTAGTTTATTCACTAGCTGATATTAAAAGGGAGACTCTTCAAAAAGCTGAAGTTCTTTCTGGCTTTGAAGCTCTTATTACCTCCCTATTGAATAGAATCTGGTGGAATATTTATAATTTTTGTGGTAAAAGCAAATCTCAAATTAGTTTAAGTTTGATGGCTGCCATACACGTATTTGATTAAAAAGACACTTTAGAGGAGTACCTGGGTGGCTCAGTCGGTTAAGTGTCTGACTTCGGCTTAGGTCACGATCTCACGGCTCTTGGGTTTGAGCCTTGCGTCGGGTTCTGTGCTGACTGCCAGCTCAGACCTGGAGCCTGTTTCAGATTCTGTATCTCCCTCTCTCTCTGACCCTCCCCTGCTCATGCTATCTTTCTCTCTCAGAAATAAATAAAACATTAAAAAATTTTTTTAAAAAAGACACTTTATGTAATTTAACCTTCCAGATGGGAAGTTGCTATTTGCTAGTGCTAATTCCTAATGCATTAAATTAATGCAAATGTTCTGGTATAAAAGGCCAGCGTAAAATATGATTATAAGGAGACAAGATTTTTAAGTGAAGAGAGTCCTTTACTGAGGTCATATCTGTAGTTGAATTTGAATAACCCATATCCCAGAAAATGTTTATAAACCCTGAGATATGATAGGACCTCAGACAATTTCCTGCTGATTCAGTGAAAAACGACAGTGTGGAGGCACTTGTGTTGGGGCTGTAGGAAGCACAATGATAAATCCCAAATATGTAATGCCATCTTGGAGCTGAACAAGGCAGAAGGCAAGATCATCAATAAGATGATGTAGAACATGCTTCTGGAAGAGGTGGCATTTTATTTGACCTCTCAAGAAAGCATAGGCTTCCATCAGACAGAGCCAGGTGAGAAGGTGAGGATGTTTAGGATGTATCAAATGTAGGCTACCTCATTCACTCTGCAAATGTTTCCATGGAATGTAGAGACAAAGCAAAAATGTTATTTTGTGCATTTTGCACCAAAGGTGACAGAGTCTTATAATCATGTGCTCTTATAAGGATTCAAATAAAAGGACTAGAGTTTTGTGTTCTTCCAAACATCCCACTACCTGCCTACGACATCTCCCAAACAGTTTAGTTTACGGATGGTAGCCTTGCCTTCACCCTGCCTCCTTCACTTGAAAGGATCCTCTTATATATTTCACCCTCACCTCTGATTGCACTTATGTCAGATTTGTTTTCTGGACTTCTCTCAGTGGATTTATATTTATGGCCGAAGGCTTCATGAGCTCTGAATGATTTAGAGGGAAGTTCTGCCCAAGGATTTGTCTTGAGCAGCATCACATTTAGCTCTACTGAGAACAAGGGCTGGGATAGAGTTCCAGCCCCACTAAGGACAGTGGCCTGCTTTGTATGAGACACTTAATCTGTGACTCTTAATTCTCTCCTCTGTCAACTATACTAGTCACTATTTACAGCATGAGAATTCAATAAGATCATAAATAATAAATACTTTTTAATATAAGAAGCTAGGTAAATATAAAACATAAATACTTATTTTTAAATTATCATTTTCCCAAGAACTTTAAATGTTCTTCTATATTTGCCACTTATTCCCAGGCAACTTATTTCTTAAATTCAACCTAAATTGAGTATCACATTTGCTCCATGTGTTATATTTTTCTCTTTTGCAATTATCCTATGTGTCCAGAATATCATTTAGTTTTTTAGTCTCTATAATTCCCTCACCTGAATTAAAAACCCTACTCTAAAAAAAAATTACAAAAATAAAAACTAAAAACCCTACTCTAGTCTCACTTCTTGGAAGGGGTCTTACCAGTTTGGGTGAGTTAATAGTGTTCATGCAGGTGACATGATGGAGAATATTTTATCTCAACTTGTGTGTCTGGATATTGTTCTTTCCTACAAGGATTCCATACATGAAAAAGGCCAAAAAAAATCTAGAAATGATTAATAGGAAAGAACAAGATCTAGATACTTCTTTCAAATAAGAGAAGATATTGTGGCATAATGGCTGCATATAGGTCATAGCAGCAGTCTACCCTGGTTGAAACCCCATCTCTGCCACAGCCTACGTAACCTTGGACAAGTTGCTTAGCTTTTCTGTGCTCCAATTTTCTCCTCTTGGAGGAAAGATGATAATAATAATACTTATTTCATGGGGCTATAGGGGGATTATACGAGAGAATACAGGGAAAGAAGTTGGAAGAGCGCCCAGCACATAGTAAGTCCTCATTAAAAATTAGCTCTTACTGACAGCACATTAATACTTGGGAGATACAGTATGGTCTCAGTTAAAAAGTTACTTCTATATAAATTGTCTAGAAGTTTTTATTAAGGATGGCCTATATGCCAGTTCCACTCTTGGAGTTACAACAATGAAATGAGGGATCTACTTCTTTGTAAATTCACATTTGTCTTGTGTGACTGTCAATGCACATGGTATTTTAATTGGCATAAATTAAAAAAAAAAAGTCTTGGCACAAGACAATGCTTCAGCTAATATGTAGTCTACTTTTTAATGTAGAATTATTTCTTACATATATAGCCACATGTGAATGTGGGCTACATTTGCCATTTTTAGGGATTATGAAGTTTTTTTTTTCTTTTTCTACATAGCCTAGTTTGCTTAGTCATTGCCCCATTACTGGAAATTTGGGTTATTTCTGGTTTTTCACTAATTCAAATAGCTCCTGAATGAACCTCTTGAACAAATTACCTTTTTCTTTTGTGTTATTTCCTTGAGGTATATTCCAAAGACTGAAATTACTGAGTCAAAGGGCAAGAAAAGTTTTATAGCTCTCATTCCAAGATACAGATAGCTTTCGGGAATATTGGACCTATTTATAATAGTAGTAGCATGTGCAGACCTCTTTTTGCAGAGCCCCACCAACTTCGTTCAATTCACATTATAAAACTCAAATTAGTTTTCTTTGGTCTGTCAGGCAGGCTTCAGACAACCTCCTCCGACATTCACCAGTATAAAGTTAGTTCCAGTATTGCTTGCAAGTAAGGAAACAAGGAAGGGAAATGGAAGCCCGGTGCTCGGTGCTGGGCTGGGGGCTCCAGATATGTTAGCTTTTGAGGCAGGTTCAAGTCTTTGCCCTGCTACTTATTAGCTGAGTGACCTTCAGCAAGCTGCTCAATTTTTCTTAGCCTCAGAACCTCCATAATAGCATTGTTGTGAGGGGTAAAATAAAAAACAGGTGTAAAGTGCTTAAGGTAGTGCTTACAGTAAATGAACATCATGAAATCTCATCATCTATTTCAAGGACAAACAAATAATTTGAATCTATTTGTTATTTTACTTTATAAAAATAACTGCTATGTCATCGTTCATATGGGTTGTGGTAAATTTGTTGCATATTTAGCATAATATGATTTGTATGTCCTGATTTCTTAAAATGTCAGCTTCTGGAGACTATCAGCTGTGTTGTGTTTGGTGTAATTCCAAACATTTTACAATATGAGAATCAGTAAATAATTTCCCTGGGATAAACTGAAAATAAAATGTGGTATATTCATTTCTGGACTACTTATGTATCTAACATAATTGTGCATAGGATAATATTGTCTCTTGAAACTTATATGCCTATATATCAATGGCTGTGCTGTATCATATTCATGGAAAAGGCTGGGAAGGTCATCAAGATCATTTCCCCCCAACCCTGCCCTCATCCTCAGGAATCTTCACCTGACAGGTGGTCATCCAGACTCTGCCTAAAAGCTTCTCTTTTAATGACTTTAAAATCATCATACTCTCTAAAGTTCTTGCATAATTAGCAAAAATTTTATCAGCAGTGATTAGAGTTTTGTGTGAAATAATAGTCTACCATAAGCACATATTAATAATTTAAATTACATACTGACAAATTACTAGTTCGGTAATTCACGTTGGAAGTGCACACAAAGGCAGATCATACAAAAGAGATGATTGGAATTTCTTGGTTCACTTCATGGGTTTCTAGCAAATGTCCCTGTTTTTCAGTGAAATGTATAAGCCAGCTGATTTAGATGATATGACTACACTCCTTGCATCCAATTAATTTATCACTCTGTTACTCTTGGGTGAGTAAAGAGAGGCATTATTTTGCAGAATAAAATAAAGAGACTTGGATGGGAGCAAACATTGGTGATCTATCAAGATATAGGGGCAGGTCAGATGAAACCTGGGGTATGAAAATGATCATTGGCTCTTCTCTGCCCTTCCCAGGTTGCCTCTACCCAGTCCCCAGAAGAGCCATTCTCACTGCAATGTTGCATAAAGAATATGTCCATTGCATTTACTTTCCAACTGCTGACATATAAGTAGTTGTGGCTCTAAGTTCTTTGGCTAATCTCCACAGGGTTTCTTCAGCATATAGTCACCTTTCTCCAGCTCATAATTCAGAGTGTTCAGCCACCCTGCTGTTCTGCTTCTTGCCAGCATGTTCAGATACCCTGCAGAACTGGGATGCAGCCAGCTGAGCTTGGCT